AATGAAAACCATTTTTTTAAGTAATTTTGCTTTTAAAACCAGAAAATTGTTTATGACATTTTAATTACTTGAAAAATGCAATATGTAATTTTTAATTACTTTAAAATACATATAAAACCGGGTCAAAACAATTATCAATTAAAATGCAATAACTTTTTTATTATATTTATTTTTGAATTTTTTTTATTAAATAGATGTTAAAAAAAATCCTGAAAATATATAAATAAATATTAAAAAAAAAAATATATCAAAATGATAAAGGTAAAAAAAAAAAGTTTGCGGTTTTAGGCAACATTATGATAAAACCGCATACTCGAGAACATTAAATTCACACATTAATTTTTTTGATTTTCAATTTTTTCTTTATCATTTTTTTAAAACACATTTTAAATTCAAAAAACTATATTAATTTTTTATATTTTTACAACAAAAAAAATCAGTTTCACACAAAAGAGTTTTAATACTAAATTTAATAATATTTATTTAAGAACAAAAAAATTTATTAAAAAATATTTATTACAAAAAAAAACTTCAGTATTAAGTTTAATGAATTTAAACTGAAATTAAAAAACTCCAAATCTTTGTACAAAAACATTAACATTTGAAAACATTCAGTTGTCATTCTGTTTTGCTTTGCATACAAAGTGTTTAATGCATCAGAGAAAAGGGATTCATTTTGTGCACTGGTAGTAGGCGTACATTAAATCATTCTTGAAATACAATACAATATTGAAAACACATGTTGATTTTGATACCAAAAGTGTAAAAACGTTTTGCTCATTTACTGACAATTTTATATAACCACTAATTTCTTTTTTTAAATCTAAACTTATTATTTTGTCATTATCAATTCCGGAATCATCATCTTCATCGTCAAATGATAACTTTTTTTGATTTGATTGTCACTTTTTTAACTGGAACTATATCACAAACTTTTTTTGTCGAATGAAATTCCGACAAAAATTCTCTAACACATTTTAAATATTTTTTTTTCTCGTATTATTCAAAGAATTGGAAACTTTAATAATTTGGATCCAAAAAAGTGGAACATAATAAAAACGAATTATTGTAATATACTGTAGCTTACAGGGCCAGCACAAGTAGGTAAAACGTAGAGAGCGTCGTTAAAATTTTAGCTGACTAGAAAAAGGAAAAAAAAATCCTTTTTTTTTTAAAATTTACCAAGTGACTGTTCTAAAAATCGACATTTGCTGACTTACTTATCTAAAAGAGTCAAATTGGCTTACTAAATGAGCTAAAAGTTCTTTGGTGGGATGTCACACACAAAACCAACTACCCCATTCCCTCATCCCTTTGTGCTGGCCTTGCTAGCTTATTCAATTCTAAAGATATTTAGGTTTTACCATGTTTATTTGTTGGATTTTTTATGAAATATTTTTTTAAAGTATCTCGTTAAACCTTTGGCAGTGAGAATTAAAAGAAAATTATTTTGATATTTTTTTATTTTTGTGGTATTATGCGGTAAAATGATCATGTATTAGCAAAATTATTCAAAAATTCTAATAGAAATGATATCATGAACCCAAGTTATTTATATTATATATTTATAAATTTCTTTAGTTTGACTAAAAAATAAAATTGGTTAATTTTAGTTAACTAAAAAGTTAGTTGGGTAATTTTTGTTGGACTAAAAAGTTAGTTGGGTATTTTAAGTCAACTAAAAAGTTAGTCGATTAATTTTAGTTTGACTAAAAAGTTAGTTGGGTATTTTAGTTAACTTAAAATTAGTCGACTAATTTTAGTTAACTGAAAAGTTAGTCAACTAATTTTAGTTACAGTTTTTTTAGTTTATTTAGTTACAATTTTTAGTTTTGGTCACAACACTAAATCTGTATATATAAATAGTTTATAGTATATGGGACAGAATCAACTCTAGTTGCTGTTAGCTGTAATTCTACCTTTGTTAGTACAGGTAAATGATTGATAATAAATACTGGTATATATTTTATGATAAATGCCATGCAAATATTTAAACAACTATTTTTTAGGCTGTGAAGAATTTTTTTTAGAAAAAAAACTTCAAACTAAACTTATTTGGATAGTTTGTGTCACACAAAAAAACTACCTTTGACACACTTAATGTCAGTTATTGATGGAAAACAATTTCAAACAACAAGTATTCTGGAAATATTGGAAAACTTGTCCCTTTGCCAATGATCTCAAAATTTCCACTAATATAGGTCAAGATATAGATATTGAAAAATATTTTAATCAAATACTTTAAAAGATTTATCTAGTGATCAAAGTTATCTATACCAAATCAGGGTGTAAACTAGCCCTGTGGCGCCCTGTCAAACGCGGTATTCCCAAATGCTCATAAAATTAAAATTCCCAATTTAAAGGTGAAAAAATCTCATACTCGAAATAAATTTTGCCAAATTAAAGTTTATTAATAGTTCTGAAAATTATTGAAAACTAAATATTATTAAAAACTAATAGAAAAAAATAAATTCTAATTTGTTAATTGCATATTTACGCGATTGAGCTCCGAAAATGTCTCTTCCACAAAACTTCTTGAGAATTGGGATTTTCCGAGCGATTTTAGGGATTTTCCCTGTAACTTGCTTGTAAAATTAATTCCTCATATTTTGCAAAAATTTTTTGCAATGCATTCCAACATCAGTAAATATTATAAAAAAAAAAAAAAGCAAGAAAAAAAGCACTTATCTAAAAAAATTTAAAACAATAAATTTGTCCGGTTTAAAACCCACAAATTGATATTTCTTTAAAAGTTTCGACATTTTTGGCTGAAAAGTTAAATAACTTATGAAGTCTTTCCGCAAACTCAACTTCAAGTAGTACATGTGCTTCATCAACAAAAATATTGACAAGCCTTTTATGTCAGATACTTTCGGGGTCGTCCATAAATTATGCAACGCAAAAAAATGTTAAAAAACTTAAGTCGCAGATTTTAACCTCTTTTACGCTGCGATTTTCATTAAACTGAATTGGCTATTATGATTTTTTATTTAAATTTGGACCCTATGTGGGAAAACGTTTTTTTGTTTTGTTTATTGTGAAAGTTTTCATTATTTAATTAACAGACAATTCCTAAGTTTAATTATATTATTTTTAATAATTATTATTTAACATACACTCATTATTTTATAATAGAAAAATATAAAATTTCTAATATATATTTGGAAATCGGACCTTAAATTGGTGTGCCATTATGAAACCATGTTTAATTTTGTGTTGATTTCATTTTCATCTTCAATGTTACAAGACAGTATTTTATTTTATTTTTGGCGTTGTTCAATAAATGTATGCAGCGCTGAAGTGAAGTAGAAATAAAAAAGAATATAGGAAAAAAAACCCACACATTCCCGGAACTCATTTTAATCTCAGCGGAGAGGGGGGGCGGCAGCAGGATTTTGACAAATTCCCAATTTTGTTAAAACGCTGTTTAAAGTTTATTTCTGGTTAACACCCTGCAAATAACATAAGCTATTAAAAATAATGCCAGATAATTTAAAAAAAATTCAAGTAGGTCTCCATAATCATGCTGACTGGTTAAACTTGGAAAGAAGACTTTGCAGAATCTGGTATTCACAGCATGGAATAAAACTTGTTAAAATTTAATTTTTTAAAGTTATTTAGGAAGTACAGCTGTTAGATCAAGAAAACTATCATGGCACTGATTGACTGGAGTACTGACATTTATGAACCTTTGCTCACATGCAAGATTTATAAAAAAGATCTTAGGAAGTACTAAGTCAAGATGGAGGTTTCAGAATATCTTATCCAAAGACAATATAAAGAATTGTGAAAGAAGTTAGAAGAACTTCTAGCAGATTTTCAGACAAAACAGACAATAAATGGTAAATGCAGCAACCTATAAATGACAATTTATATTTCATGTTTTTAATTGGTTGTGTTTATGATTTTTCATGTTTTTAATTGGTCGTATTTATGATTTTTCATATTTTCAATTAGTTGTATTCATGATTTTTCATGTTTTTAATAGGTTGCATTTATGATTTTTCATGTTTTTAATTGGTTGTATTTATGATTTTTCATGTGTTTAATTGGTTGTATTTATGATTTTTCATGTGTTTAATTGGTTGTATTTATGATTTTTTATGTTATTAATTGGGTGTATTTGGGGTGGTGGTTGAAAACCTTTGAAATTGTTTTGTTACATTACAGTCACATCATATTGTTATGCAAGATATTACAGCAAAATTTAGCAAAAATAATGATCTTTGTAAACTTGTAAAGGTATACATTTTTTAGCTAAAATTACTTTCTAGGTGTCTAATTAGGGATATTTGGGATTGAGGATTCAATTGAAGATGTTTTCAAGTCAATCGGAATAACTAGTCAAAAGTTGTGGCAAACAACATATATATATTTTTTTTTTACCCAAAACCACAGTTTTTGAGGTCAAAATTTAAAAAGTTATATATATATACTTTTGCATTATTTTTATTTAAGGGCCATCACATTTAAAATTCATATGGCCTAAGCATTTAATGTGAAAATATGAAAAATGACCTATTACATACAAGGTTTAGTGGTTCTCCCCATGATCCACTTTTTTTATCTGGATTTTTTGGACTAGGATATGCTAGATATGATTTATAAAGATTTCAAATTGTTAATAAGTAATCAAAAATATATTTTTCCTAATAATATCCAAATATCTAAAGTACCCTTCATGTATCTGAAGTACCCTTCATGTATCTGAAGTATCCTTCATGTATCTGAAGTACCCTTCATGTATCTGAATATAGTTAAAAATCTTTAAATAAAAAGAATTTTTTTTTTTTTTTTTTTTACTTTTTTTGAAACATTTTTAACTATATGAATAAGTCTTCTTTTTGCTAAATTAGCAAATTGATGTAATCAAACTCGTAAATTTATAAGGATTTTCCCCCTAAATCCCCAAATTTTTCCATTAATTTCCTGTAAACCCCTAAATTTTTGCCTTAATTTATTAAAATAACCAATAAACTAAGAAATTAAATATAACATACCTTGTTACATTTGATAAATGCACTAAATTTGTGTAACCGTGCTTAAGCATATCCTCATTTAGTTTTGGCATGAAGTCACCAAAAGCTATGAAAAAAAGATAAAAAAAGAAAACAATCTTTAAAAATATTGTAAATTAGGTAAAATAAAATAACTGCTTACTTGGATTAACAATACAATCAACAGAAGAAAACAAACGCTGAAGAATATTCATGCAGCGCGTACGTTGTTTCTGAGCCTAAAAAAAGAACAAACAACTACATTTATTGGAAATAATTGTAAAAACTGCAATTATTCTAATAAGAGTCTGCTGTACCAATCTGCATCCTGTACCATCAGTACCAGGGGTGTGGAGTCGTAAAAAAAAAGTAATGACTCCGACTCCAGTTGTTGAAATTTTTTGAGTACAACTCCGACTCCAACTATAACTCCGAGTCCAACTCCAAAGCAAAATTTTTAAAAATTTTTTGAATTTTTTTAAAAATATTATGTGATAAGTTAAAAAAAAAGTTTTTTGACAAATTTATGAAACGTTCTTTGAGGTTTAGTATAAATATAAGGTTAATTGAATGTTTTATCCGCTAAAAATGTTGCAACTCCGACTCCACAGCACCATGTACCATGTTTTTTCACAAATAGTAATGATAAATTTTATCATAATAATATCTTTACTATACTGTTAAATGGATTAAGTTTGTAAAATTACTACACTGTTTTGTTTCTTTTGATTTAAATCATCACCCTACTTTATAGTAAAATTTTTTTTAAACAAAAAAACAAAACACCAGCTTTAAACATGAAAAAGTTAGAATACAAAATAGATAAAAGTTAAATTTTAAAGTCATTTTTTTTTAAAAAGAATTTTTTCAAAAATTTTATCAATGCTTATATTTTGGTTGAACTAAATGTACTTTCTATTCTAATGGTTTTCTGTATTAAATTAGAGTTAATCTTTACAAAAAATGAAAAAATAAACCATTTATAAAAAAAATATTTGCATTATGCAACCTATTTGAACATCTTTCAATGTAAGAAAACAAAACTACTGTTACACTTACTGTTTACACTTCCTAAAGGAGCAAATGTTTGTTGCAGCAATTTTAGGTTAATCATTTTAAATATGGAATTGACAGGAGCAACAAATGATATTCAGAAATTTAATGGAGAAGAAAATTCTGGTAGCATTGAAGAAACTAACCTAGTCACCAACCAACCTAGTCACCAACCAAACTAGCATTCCTTTAACACTGTTACTTATAATGTAATTATTGAGTGTTTAAAATAAATTCTCCACAATAGTTATTGTTAAAAACTATGACTAAAAAAGTGTGGAAAATCACTTAAACTTTTAGTTTAAGTGATTTTCCACAACTAAAAAAATGTTGTGGAAAATCACTTAAACTAAAAGTTTAGTTTAAGTGATTTTCCACAACATTTGAAGTTTGCTTTTTGACCTCTGAAGCATAACTTTCTTTACCAAAAATGAAAAATCATTTCAAAACTAACTATGTATACGTATTTACTGGTTTTTAAGATTAAAATAATTTTTCACTGAGGCCGTACTGCCAGTGCCAAAAAAATTTTTGTAATCAAAACCAGTAACAAGTTTTATAGCATACAGACCCATAGAATCTGTACCAATGTAAAAATGCAAACATTTTTTTATAAATAATTTTTCTGAAAAATAAATATTAATTAAATCAACAAAACCATAAAACTTTATCCAGAAACTTCTATAAAATGTGATGGTTAAATTGAAAATTTCTAAAAACAATGTCAACCCCTGGAAACTGTATTTTCTATTTTATATATTGGAAAGTGTTATACAAAAAATGATTGAATTTTTTCTATTAAATCATTTTTACAAAAAGTAAATGGCAATTGCAACATTGCATACAACAATTGCAACATTGCATAGTATTAAAGCAAATCACATACAATACAGAGTTAGTGTTTGATGTTATACGTAAATGTAATATGATAAGAATATACAGTAGATTAGATGCTTTTGAGTTTTAATAAACAGTTGAGGAGGCTATTTTAATTGTGGTTACAACCCTCTCTCAACTCTATAACTCTGAAGTATGAATGTTGATGAAGCTTATGCACAGAGAAACAAGTTAAGCACGGTACTACCAGGGACATGGTGGGGATGGAACTTAAAACTTCTAGCTTATGAAGAAAGTGTTCTACTATTACACCACTACTGCATAAATGCATACCACATAAAATATATGCACATATATGCATATATATATATACATCAGGCTTGGTCGGGAAGCGGGAGCGATCGCACTCGAATACCGACACACTGAAATTATATTCAGTTGCAAAAAACTCGCCAGATTTTTTTAGTCATTTTGAGAACATTTAAGTTTATGTACAAAAGAAAAATTTTTTGTTTTACGGACATACATGGAAACATAAAAAACTTTAATGTTCTTAAAACATCTTGGTGCAAAAGAATAAAAAGAATATAATCGCGAACACTAAAAACCCGCCAAATTAACAAACAAACTAATTCTATTGGTTCAAAAAATATGCTGTCTAAGCGAAATAAAGTTTTAGAGTATTCTGTTGATATGTTTTAGATGTTTTAGATCTGTTGATATGTTTTAGATTTAGAAATTGTATTATTCACAATTTGTTAGGTTTTGAGATTTCTAACATAAATTGTTTTAAGAATATATACTATTTGTTTACAAAAATAAATGTTTTAATTAAATTGTCAAAATTTTAAAAGTTTATTATAAATTATAGATTTTATTAGTATATTCTTATTTTTTTTATCGTAATGTATCTTTTAAAGCAATTTTTATGATTTAAACAAAGACTTACAAAATTAATTGCGTTTTCAATGAAGTAATAATCATTGAAGTTAATAAAACTAATTATGTAACAAACATATAAGAAATTTCTGGTTACTAAACACAAACAACGCATACAAAGTAACTTGCGGATAAACAAGCACCACGCCTGATGTCACGACAGAACACAAATATATATAATAAATACTTAGATATAAAGAAAAGTTTCTAGATATTGGTTAACTAACTCTAACTATTTTTGCTTAAGTTGCCATTTTTAAAAACACGCTATACTTTTTTTTGCTTTAAATACTAATTAAAATTAAAAAGCCCACTCACGACTTTTCAAACTACGCAAAACATAAAGTAGGTATTAAAAAAATTAACTTTATTTATAAAATAATTTAGCTTAAATAAAACTAAAACTTGCAAACTTTGTTAAATCAAAAATATTTGTTTCCTTTTTAAACAATCGTAAGATGTTACTTTATATAAAAAACATCGCTTAATTTTATAGAAAAAATTATAAAAGAGCAATTTGTCAAAAATATTTGTTCTAAACGTAATTTATTTACCTTTAAGTTTTTTAAAGATATTTTATTTGCCTACTTTTTTTTTTTTGTAATTGTCTCTCATCGGTCCAAATAATTTTTTTTTTGCTTATTAAATTGTTCTCAAAATGACTAAAAAATCTGCCCAGCTTTTCGCAACTAAATATTATTTACGTGGTCAGCAATTGAGAGCGATCGCTCCCGCTTCCCGATCAAGCCTAATATATATATATATATATATATATATATATATATATATATATATATATATATATATATATATATATATATATATATATATATATATATATATATATACATATATAACCGAAATTATGTTATCTACCTAATAAATGGCTGAGTGTGTGTTTGGTGCGGGAAGGTTGAGGTGTTAATTAACAGGAGAGAGAGAGAGATCATTAAAAAAGTAAAAAATTTCTTAAAACGTCAAAATATCATGAGACATTTGTTACACATTTGACATCTGATAAAGATATCAAATGTCAGATTTGACATCTGATGTCAGATTTGACATCTGACACATTTGATAAAGAATATTTATGCTATTAATGTTTTATGTAATTAGTCGCAACATTTGACACACATTTAACAATTTTCTTTCTTAAAAGAAAAAAAACTTTTATTTTCTTTGAAGTTAACAAGTGGGAAGAAAGTCCAAATGAGCTCTGGATTTTCAGAAAAGAACCTAACAGAAACTTAATAAAGAAAAAACCTAATAAGCCCTGCCCTGTTTTTTATTAGAAGTTTACAATTTTACAATAAGAAGTTATAAAGTATTATAAAGTAAACATAAACTGCTTTGTATTGAACATTAATCATCAACTCAAATCAAAGTATTTAAATATTTTTATTTTCTACTACTTACTAAAAATTATTGAAATAAAACTATTAAATATATAAAGAATAAGTATATAAATAGTGTGGAGTCCAACCATGGAGTAGACCAACCATTACTTGCATTACGGATCTGGACTGTTAGTAAATACATAAAAGTTAAAAAAAATAAATTTTCACAACATTTAAAATATAACCCTGATGGGTTATATTTAAACAAAAAAATTTTAGTTGTTTAAATCATAACAAATTTTTACATTTACCTCGAAATATTCAATTGCAGTAAATGATCCACCAATTTGTAAGTTTATTTCTGAATCCGTGTTCTAATAGGAAACATTTTTTTTCTATTTTCTATTAATTTTTTAACAAAAATGTGACAAATAAATGTTTCATAACTTACAAGTTTATCGTGATATTTGTTATATATCTCTTTACAATTAGTTGCCATTTCAGTTAAAATAGATATACAGTGTGCTCGAACAGCTTCCTGTGAATAAAATAAAATACTTTTATTGCTGCAAAATGTACATGAACATTTTACTTTAAACAAAATCGGCACTTAAAAATGAAGACAATAAAATTTGTACATAGGAAATGCAAAGGCTTACACAAAAAGTATAAACCATATAAATGGTATAAAATCAAATTAAAAAAAAAAAAACGTACATAAAGCTCTGGTATGGAAATCTCCACTAACTTTGCGTTACATCTATTTACCAAATAATCGACAGCTGGAAATAAATTCATATCTTGAAGTAATCAAAACTGTTGAGTTTTAAAAAATGCACAGTCAGCAGTATTTTTTCACTTTTTGTATTTCAACATTTTTTTCTCATACAAGCATCAATAATTAAGTAATTTTAATAAAGAAAGAAATAAAAAAATTTTTGATTAAAAAAAAAACAAAGCACTCTAAAAAAAAAAAGGGAGTTGATAATAAAAAATAATCAAATTTAACTACTAACAACTTAGCCAACAGCAAAAACCTTTTTGTCTGTCAGCATGAGTAATAATTTACCTGTCTGTCAACTCCAGTAACAAATTATCAGTCTATCAGCAACAATAGCTTCCAGTAAATGTTCTTTCAATATTTTATAAGGTATTATAAAGTTTTATTTTTTAAGTATGGAATAAATGCTATTTATTTAACAATCAATGATTGTATAGTTGCTTAAAATAAACTGAGATATTATGCATAAATCAAAATTTTTTGAAATTTTATCATCATTTACCATATGATTCACTTAATCAAGTTTTGAACATATTCATATATGTATACCTACATGTTAATTATAGTATAACATCACTTTTGCAAAAAACTAAAAAAAAATAATCACTAATATAAACTAAATATATACTTTTGGATTCAGCCAAGCCCTCAAAATTTTAAAATAGATTCAGGCCCTTTCTAACCTGTGATCTGCATATAGTGTTAAAGGTTTTTCTGAATTTTTAATAAATATATTAAGATTTTAATGATCTATTAAGATTTCATCTGATAATTGAAACCAACATGAATTTAACAGCTAAAATTGTTTTAAATATATTTTATCTTTAATTATAAATACACCATTTATGATTGTAGATAAAATTTACACCTATCATTTTATTCATTTTATATTGCAATACATTTAATCTTGCATATTTTCTGTAATCACACATATATTAATTTCCATAATATAATAGACTAGATCCAACCAAAAAACATCCAAACTATAAAGAACAAAATTACCTTGTTTGCAATGAGTAGCAATTTCAGGATTGCAATGCTATAATAGATAAAAAAATTCCTAATTACATATTTAAGAGACCTTTGAAATTTATTAATATAAAAAGGTTTGAAATTTATTAATATAAAAAGGTTTGAAATTTATTAATATAAAAAGAAGAATAAAAAAAGATATAATAAAAATCAGAAGAGCGCTATCAAAATTACGCATACATTAAAATTACGCATACATTAAAACTATGCATACATTAAAATATGTCCAATCCACTCCAATTTTAATATCATACAAATCTTTTATTTCAAAATTCAAAAGATTTGGCAAAGGCTGCACTAAACCTGAAAAAAAAAATAACTAAATTGCTTTAAAAATTTTTTTTATAAGAATTGAAATTTAATGATATATATGAAATATTTACCAATAGGATCCTGGCAATCAGGTCCAGCTAGAAAACCTGAAATTTAAATACATATTAATAGAAACATATATATATATATATATATATATATATATATATATATATATATATATATATATATATATATATATATATATATATATATATATATATATATATATATAAATATATATATATATATATATATATATATATATATATATATATATATATATATTAATTGTTAATATTCAATAAAATAACAGCTATAGCACCAAATTATAGTAAAAATACGATTTAAATGACTCAAATGTTATATTTCAATATTTGGTCAGATGTCCTTTATTATCAAGAACTGCTTGTATTCTTCTTGGCATACTATGCACTAATTTTTTACAAAATTTCATTTTTTATTTTTATTTTCAGTTTCATTAGTCCAAAGTTCTTTTAGAACTTTTTGGAGATGTTTTTCAGATTTTGGCTGATGTGCTGCAACTTTCTGCTTCATAACATTCTAGCAGTTCTTGATAACATTTAGATCGGGTGAACTTGAGGGCCAATCGGACAATAATTCAATATTATTATCAGTAAACCAGATCTTAACTATTTTAGCTGTGTGAAATGGTGCTGAATCTTGCTGAAATATGCTGGTTTTGGTAGTTTCCATATGCAGTTTCACTTTATCTTTCATAACCAACATAAATACTTTTGGGCATTGACTTTTTCGCCTTTTTTAAAGATGTCCATACCACACTAACCTTGTACTGTGATAGCACCCCATACCATAACTGAAGGAGGATGTTTGACTGTTTTTATGGTATACTTCGGATTCAGGCATTCTCCAACAAGTCTTCCAACATATCTATACCCCATATTTCTAATTTGTTGATGTGTTCTAATTTGTTGTACTCTTCGTGTTCAAATTTATTGTATTCTTGCCTGGAAACATTACTCATTCCCACCACTCTGGTGTCTTGTCTTTTAAACTCTTACAAAATTTAATCCAAGCTTGCAATTGTGCTGTAGTTAATAAAGGTTTTTTAGCTGGTCTTCTAACAACTAAACCAAAGTCATAATACCCCCTTCTCCTAATTGTTCTCGAACTAATAGTAATACTTCTTTCAATAGCAATTTGTGATAATCTTGTGGTATGGGGCTCACTATTAACAATATTCCTTAAAAATCTGTCTTCTCGTGATTTACTCATGCGTTTTCTACTACAATTTTTGCGATTTGTTAAATCTAGCAAACGTAAGGCATTTTGTACGGTACTTCTCTATATTTTTAGGCATTTTGATATACTTCTTTGAGAATAACTCTCTGAAAATAGTGTACTTATTTCACCTTTAACAAAGTTATTAATATCGTACTCTCTACCCGTAATATCAATCCTATGGCAACCTGAGGGTGTAAAATAAACTAAAATATCTTCAAAAATTAAAAATAAAACGGCTTAGTTAAGAATCCATATATAGTGTACATATCAGCAACTTGTGCAAACCTTGATTAAATAATTTTAAAAAGTCAGATCATTAAAATGTTAAATATTGAGCAGTTTATAAAAAGGGACAATTGCTTAACATTGCAAAAAAATTAAATTTTTTTTTTTTATAAAATATATTTATATATAAATATATAATTTTAGTAAATACCATCAATCAATAGTGCTGAGTCAACATTGCACAATTTGATGGCATATTATTTGAAGTTCGGAGCGATAGCTTATCACAATGACGCCTAATTAATACCATGCAGTTGTAACTTTGCAACACACAGTATTTCAAGTCTAATCAAACTAAAACCAATAATAAACACATAAATACTAAAATTTTTACTATAATGTCAACTTTGTTGTTGTACCATTTTTTAGTACGCTTGCCGCTACTTCTGTAGATGAAAGTTGATCTTTTGAAACCAAATGTTATAGCTGCTTTCCTTTTACACATACCTTTGTCCATAGCCTTTAAATGACAAGCCTTCTATGCTTTTTCATGTAAATCCATAGATTACATAGATACTTGCAAAAGAGCTATTTCCATGCGTTGCAATATATATTATTGTCTTGTAATTAGTTCATATCAGTGATATAAATTTAACAGTAATTTTTGAAATTAAAATTTTCCATAAATATTTTTTTAAAACAGGGTAATTTTGAAATTATAAACAAACTTTTTATTCGAATAAAATAATATAGTGATTATAAAAATGTCAAAATTAATTAGTAAATTTACAGGTAAAGTTACCAGTAAATTTTACATTTGCAATACTATTTCATACTCACAAAATCACATTTTTTACATATCAACATTTCATAACATTCCTGCTAATTGTCTCCTTTGTTGTTTATCCATAAATGACCAAAATCTAAGTATTTCAAAATTTCTCTAATTTTTTAAAAAAAGTAGTTGATATACAAAAAATATTAATTTTGTTTTTGTTAGTATAATTTATTTGGCGATTCTTAATAATAATAAGATTAAATTGGATCATTATCTAAAACTTTGCTTATTTTAGATTTTAATAGTATGCCTTTCTTCAAATTGTTGTTTTGATAAAGAACTATTTCAGCAGGTTGCAAATAAACATTTTTTTTTTATATGGGTTCATATTTACAAAGTAATAACAAATTTATTTGAGGAAAAGTAGTTTGTAAAATTTGAGTTTTATATATATATTTTTTAAATGATCAAAGTGACTGAACTTAGGCAACTGTATACAGATTTTAAAAAATATGAAAATGAAAAATAACTAAATAATCAGTAGATGTTAATAATACTGACAGTAACATTGAACAAATTTTTTTTTTTTTTTTTTGCATTACAGAAAAATCATCATTATCAAATGCAATATAATTATATGCAAAATTAATGATAACTCTGTAAAAGATAAAAAAATGATTACAAAAAATTTCAGAAAGAAGTTTCAAGGTTTTTTCGAAGACTTTTCCAAAAACTGTCAAATTCCAGGATTTTTCCAGGTTTTCAAGGACTGCTGGCCACCATGAATTATATGTTTAAAATAATGATGGGTATTTTTGTAAATGTAATATGCAGAGATGTAGGTCACAAGAAAAAGGACAGATATGCGCAATCTAATTCACTGATTTTGAAAGTGAGGTGCATGTGCATATTTGTTGAAAAATGAAATAAAAATCAAAACAAGCAGATGTTCAAAATAGGTATATTGAAGTAATGATTAACTTGTGCTAATATCAATGTAGGAAATTCATTATATTTTAGTACTCTTTAGAGTATTTGAAAGGTATCAAAACTTTGACACACAAATTTTCAGCCATAAAATCTTAATAAAGATTATTTTGGTGATATGATTGTTAAAGAAATGAAAGAATGTGCTTTTTTCAGATTTTGTTTTTCAATTTAAATTTTGAGAAGTGTGGTATATTTTTCATTACACAACTCTAATCATCATCCTTAAATCTTTAAACATTTTGAACATGAAACGAACTTTGTCAAACAAGATTTTGCATTTTAAGAAGCAAGTCTTCAATAAAAATTAACAATTTTAAATTAGAAAATGGCATTCTTGTTTATTATATCATATTACTTTTAAAGGAAGTATACACAGCAATCTAAAATAAAAACACACTTGATTTTATTAACTATACCATGAAATCATCTTATTAAATGGTTGTGGTGTTTTTACCACAGCTTTTAGCTAGCAATATTGTCAGTACATATTGAAACTATTGATTAAAATGTGGAATTAAAGAATACATTTTGTTTCTTTTTTAATTTTTTTTTAATTTTTTCAGAACCAAGAGATTTTTTTTTGGTTCTTAAGATATATTTAATGTAAAATAATGTTGTAAGATAACACAATAAAAATTTATTAAAGTTGTTGTTAGCCAAATGATAGTGATTTTTCAATACAGTTTATATTTTATATAGTAATATCATTAAAATATTAAATAATTAACTAAATAATTATAAATAGCAGCTGCACAAGAAGGTGAAAAACACAGAGTAGAGTTTGGGAACAATGAAAACCATGGAGTAAAGCTTGACTTTAACCAATGAAAAGGATAGATTTTCATGTCTAAATCTAGGAGAGAAAAAAAATCACAAAAGGAATCCTGATCAGTCTTATGAGTAATTCTATGTAAAAGTAGGATAAAAAATTAAAATTTTTTAGTCACCCTCTCAGATTTATTTTTAAATTTCAACCAGTGGTAACATGAAAAAAAGTAAAGTTTGAGCTCCCAAATACAAACGGTTCAAAAGTTATGATATTTTAAAATTCAGACTTAAATTTTTTTCTACATCCGCCATTATGGACTTTGTAGTAGTACTTTTTAATGAATAATTTAAGATTTAAGTGAAAGAATGTGGCAAAAAATTAGTGCCTGAGCATTTTTGAGGGTGCTGAAATCAAAAATGTAGAGAAAATAATGAAACTAAAATTTTTTGAAGGTTATTTTTTGATTTTAAAATGGTCACTCAAACCTTTTTTTTTGTTAACATGGGTTGTGATTTCATTAACTCCTAGTCTCACGGATTCAACTTTTTTCATCAATGAAGTAGGTGATTCTAGTCTATCTTTATAAAAAAGATGGTTTTGGTTTCTTAAAGAATAGTTTAGATATTTCATTTTGAAGCTTATACAAAAAATTCCTAAATTGGACTAATTCTCTATCATTGATTTTTTTGTCAAAGATTTTTTAACAATAATTTATGTGTAAATAATTTAAGTTTTAGAGTAAGAAACTGACTGAAAATTGATACCTGGCCATTTTTGAAGATGCAGAATTCAAAGTAGAAAAGAATACAACCTAATGCAAATTGTTTGACACCTGTTTTTTATTTCAAAATGGTCAAAAATTACCATAAAACAGGGTAACGTTTTCTCTAATTCATGAAGTTTTCTGACTCATGGATTCATTTGTGATGTGTAAAAACAGTTTTTTGAGGTTGGTTTTGATACACAAACAAAGTTTTGTGAAGTGAATTGCTAAGTAAAAATATAGTTTTGCGACATCGGCTTTGATGTATAAATATAGTTTTGTGACACCAGTTTTGTTGCATAAATATAGTTTTGAATTACTAGTTGTATAAACAGAAAAACTATTTTAATTTTAGATTAAATAACAATTGAGTCTTCTTTGGTTATTTAGTTTCTCAGTAATGGCAAACAGTCAACAGTGCTCAATTTGAATCAAGCTGGAAAGTGAATGTCATCTTACAATATATACATAGTTGCTTAGAATCGAATCTTTTGAAGATATTACTGAACAAAAAGAATTTCAGGAATATCTTTTTTTGAAGATATTCCTGAAAGACAAATATGAATGTGGAAGACTGGGCTGTCAATAACCACTGTCAAATTAACAACTTATCTCCACCATAAATATATTTATTTGAAGCAGTATACAAATAAATTAAAACGATCCTGCATTCCATTTAATACTTATAACAAAGTTTTAAAAGGTATTTATAGTAATCACAATCAATTTTGTGAAAGTGTTGTGAGTCACAATAGTGAAATTCTTGGCAGCCGAATTTAACTTTACTTTTAGCTGACTTCTGAAAGTGCACTATTAAATACCAAACAACTATAAACTTTAAATGGCTCTATTAATATTTTTATACATATTTAAAAAATTCTTCCCTTTTTTCAGGCAGTCTTCATGAAATTAACTTGGATACAGCAAAGTACCTATGCGATAAAGAAAAATTCATAGTGCCAAGTGAAAAGCTATGCAAACATAAATTAGCATCAAGAAAAAAATCAGAAGAAAACAAGTTTTGGAGATAAAACTGAAGATAATATGCAAAAATTCTAGACTTCTAAAATCTTGGTCTTCATTAAAAAAAAACAGCAAACAAAATTCAAAATACAAAGTTTTTATGTGACCAAAAAGACATCATAGCATACCCTGATGTGGTTGAACAGCATTGAATTAGCCAAGATGTTATAGAACTTATAAAGCTTTTTTACTGTGATGATGAGTATTCAAGGCAAATGCCAGAAAAAAAAGACTGTTTAAGTGTTAGTAAAAAAAAAATTCATGTCAAAAAAATTGATTTTCTGTAACTTAAAAGAGCTCTATGTGGTATTTAGGATAAAGTACTTAGACCATAAAATTAAATTTTCTAATTTTTGCAGTCTTCGGCCTAAATGGTGCATTTTTGCTGGTCCAAAAGTTATACATTCTGTTTGTATGTGTACAATTTTGCAGGAATTACATTTTTGTAGTACAAGACGAGATATAGAGTTACCATTGGAGCCAATGTTCTTTTCATCCAGTTGTCATCAACTACAAGAAAGTGAAATTGAAAATGCATTCTTTTTGTGTAATTTCAGATAATTTGAATCATGATGTTGGATTGTTGAAGTTATGCATAAAACCATTATTCATATAAAAACACATCTTGGACCCACAATTACAAAAATTCATTATTTTTTTGATGGCTGTGCCGCTCAGTATAAAAAATTTTTTTTCAATTTATGTCACCATGCTTAAGATTTTTCTGTGTGTTGCATTTGGAGTTTCTTTGCAACAAGCCATTTCAAATCTCTGTGCTATGGAGTAGGTGACATTGTTAAAAGGCTTGTTTCAACTGCTAGCTTGCATAGTCCAACCACAGATTAAAGACTGTCTTCTCTTCTTCTAATGTCAAAAGTCAATCAGTGGTATTATGTTTGTGTACGTCACTGTTGAAGAAATGGAACTAATAAAAAACAAACTTACTGATAGACTTTTAATAGTAACCACTACTTCTGGGACAAAAAGTTTCCATCAATTTGCACCTCATTCTCATTCAATTATAAAATGAAAAGAGTATCAGATGGTGATGGTTTTGCTATAACATTTGACTTCCTCAATTAAAAAAAATGAAACTATTAAAATTAACTATGTTATGATGTCAAAATACCTATTTTGCAAATATGATAAATTTTACTGGCTTGGTATGGTTGCTGAAGTTGATAAAGAGAATGATGATTTTATGGTAAAGTTTATGCATCCACATTATTTAAGTAAGTCATACTACTGGCAAAAGCTGGATGAAAATTGCTGGGTGCCAAGAATAAATGTTATTTCTCCTATTAAAACACTGTCAACATCATTTTAGTCATTTTTTAACAAAATATTTGAGCATACAACCTTTCAGCATGAAACCAATATTTTGAAACAATACTTAATTATTAGACATTAAGTAATAATGTTAAGTTGATTATAATTAATAAATAATGAACTTATATTTTTAATGTGATGTATTGCAAATTATATTTCCATGTATAGTTTTGAAAATATTGATTATAAATATGCAAGTTATGCAAAGCAATATAATTTTTTTATTATAATTCAGATACATAAACTTTTCTAAGACCTCTTATTTCACATTAAGAGTAAGGCAACTCCAGAATTAAGTGAAATGTAAGCCATGGCTACAAAACAAAAAATTTGACTGTTGATATTTTAAAATTAGAAAATTATTTTCAAATATTAGGATTTGGGTCAAATATTAGGATTTTCTCTTCATCTTTGTATTCAGCATCTTTAAAAATGGTCAGGTACCAACTTTCAGTCATATTTTTCCTCTAGAACTTGAATTATTCACACAAAAAGAATCGCTATAAATTCTATAATTGAAAATGAAGGCCAAAAAAAGGATTTTTTGTCTAAATTCCAAAATGACATACCTTTATTATGCTTTAAGAAACCAAAACCATCTTTTTTATAAAGATAGCTTAAGATCTAATACTTATTTTGAAAAAAAGTTGAATCCATAAGACTTGGACAACTACAGGAGTTAATTAAAGCGCAAGCCATTGTAATAGAACAAAAAATTTGATTGACCATTTTAAAATAAAAAAATAACTATCAAAAAATTTAAATATTTTTTTCTTAGCATTTTTGAATTTAGCACCCTCAAAAATGGTCAGGTACCAATTTTTAGTCATTTTAGGCTGAACTTCAAAATACCATAACTTTTGGACTGTTTGGATTTGGGAGCTCAAATTTTACATTTTTTCATGTTTTATTAATACATACTGCTGGTTAAAATTTAAAGAAAATCCAAAAGGTTGAAATAACTGTTTCACTTTTACATGAAATTACCTTGTAAATTATTTGTAAACAATAGATTAAAACAATTTGGTGATGATGCTTTTAATGATTAATGCTTTTTGGCAGCCATCGTTGTGAGTGAGCTTGACTCAAGCTAGTTGTACTTAAATAGTATTGCACTGTTAGTACTTGTTTGTCTCACTGTTAGTACTTGGCACAATAAAGAACAATCTATTAAGTTGACTCATTTTTGCTCATCAATTTAAAGTTGTAACAAATGGCTCCTTACATTGTTTTAACAATAACAGAGACACCAACGATGTTCAGCATGGCTGTCTATAACGCAACACTGTTAGAACTCTGATACTTTACAGCTATTGACAGAATTAGCTTCTATGATGCCCCCACAGAGTTACCACAATGCTGCTACAGAGCAGTGTTACAACAAAAAAGTTGATTTCATTTACACAACAAACCTTCATTATCTAACTTGCTAAGATTTTTTAAGCAATGTAAAACGCTAAAAAAAAATTATTATTAATATTAATAAACATAGGAAAAAACAGGTAAACAAAAAGTACCATATGCAATTGCAGAATCACGAACAGTAGAGCAGACAAAGCCTTAAAAAAAGATGTGTACAAATAAGTTGGCAAATCATTAATTTAAAATCATATACATTTTTTGAAATAATAATTCTGAACTATAAATAATTAATAAAAACTTACCTGGGTGAGCAACTGTAGAACATACTTTACGAAAACCGGTTCCACTTATTCTGGAAAAAGTAGCTACAATTGAAATCAAATCAAATCAATACCATTTTAAGTAATTTTAACTTCAGAATAACAAGAAACATTTTTTTTTGTCAATTCACCTCCTCAAGGCTGTGAAGGCCACTACAGAGGAGGAGGCTACTTAATTCTGGTTATAACATAGGTACTAACATATGATTACTATATTTAAATCAATACCAATTACTATATTTAAATCAATATTATTAATGACATGATATCATTAATACTAAACAATAATGAAAATGATTACTATATTTATACCAATACTATCAAAAAGCATGTATATAAACCTTATTTATTGGTTACCCTAGTGCAAATTTATTATAATAACATATTATTATTAATACTGAACAATAATGAAACTTAATAATAATAAAAATGCGGTATTGGTATAGCGGTGGAATGTTTCAATGGAATGCTTGTAGAATGTTTGTACAAGATTAGCTTTTTAGATTAAGAATAAATAGTTATACAATTCTTTTTTTTTTAAACTTATTACATGTGCAGTCTGATATTTAGTATATAATAAAAACTAATGTATACATAATATAAAATATACAATAAAAACTTATTTAAAGATACCTTTCAATCCAACAATTCCATTAGTACCAGCAGGTATTCTAATAGAACCGCCACCATCTGCACCTAAAGCTATTGGACACAATCCTAAACGGAAATAAAAACTTTAATATACACAACAAATTAGAGCCCACAAACCATTCAGGCTTTTTTTTCTTGTATCCAAATCATCAATGTTTTCTTTTGTGTGTCAGGGCAAACTGTAATTAATTTTAAAAACATTGTGTATATTAACTTTTACTAACTAAATTTATTACAACAAATAGTTTCTTCAAAACTATTTGTTGTAACAAAATTGATCAAATAAAAAAAAAAGTCAAATAAAACTAACAAAAATAGAATTTTTTAATTTTTTTATCTTAAATTATACTTTCATCTAATGTTACAGTGGTTTTATATACAAGATTTTTTAATAGACATTTAATACATCTAAAATAAACTAAATAAACTCATTTCCTCTCCAAAATCAACATATACACAAAATATCAACAATTACTCAGATAAATTTATACAAATTATCAAAATACAAATACAATAAGTTGTTAATGAATGCTACCACATCTAATTATAAAAAAACCAACCCTATAATAAAAGATCACAATAACAAAGAAGAAAAACTCTTTTTAAGAATGTTGTTTTTAACAAAATTAATATAAACAATTAGACCATAAGCCTTATAAAACATTAAATTATAATCATGCTAGTTCCAACTATCCACCAAGCATTTTAAAACAACTAACAACTTCAATTGAACAAAGATTATCTTTCAATTCATCAATTAAGTTTTTTTTTTGAAAGACTGCCCTTTTATAAAGATGCATTAAAAAAGATTTTACAACAATATCCAATATCATTCAAATGTAAACCCTTCTAATACTGACAAAAAAAATATTTCATAAAAGAAATATTTTATGGTTTAACCCTCCTTTCAGCAAAAAAAGTTGTAATTAAAATTGGACACTTTTTCTTAAACTTAATTGACTTTTTCCATTTTATCATAAGCTCTGCCCTGTGTTTTTTTCTCCAAAAAAATCAACTGAAAAAAACAAAAAAAAACGCATCACATTTTTATGGTTTACTCATGTAAACATAGAAAAAAGTTTTTACTATCTCATTTTGATATTGGCAATTAGCAAATATCGGATCACATAAATTTGATTCCAGATGCCATTAACGCTAAATTTATAACATTTTATATTTTATTATATTAATACTAAACTTGTATTTTTTTATATCATTTCATATTTTTGAATAATATGGCTAATGATTGCCAAAAGGCATGATGCTTCGAGTTCCATAATAAAGATTTATTTTTTTCATTTAAATTATTTTAATATAACTTTATCTATTTTGTAAAAAAATATTTATCACTCATAAGCAGATAAAAATTGTATTTCCAACAATATACAACATGTAACAAAATATAAGCGTATATATATATATATATATATATGTATGTATATATATATATATATATATATATATATATATATATATATATATATATATATAAATATATATATATATATATATATATATATATATATATATATATATATATATATATATATATATATATATATATATATATATATATATATATATATATAAATATATATATATATATATATATATATTTTGTTACATGTTGTATAATGTTGGAAATATTAATTTTCACCCCCTAAATGTGTTCTATGAAATAAATTAATACTACATTTATAAAATTTTTGAATAAAATTTTTTTTTGGATCACTCAAAACCATTAAACATCAGACAGGTCTCTAATATTTTGAAACAAAAAGTTCTTTTAAAGCATATGATGTTGGGTCTCAAAAAAAGTAAAATTTTATAAAAATTTCAAAAATAATAAAAACAATTTATTAAAAATTTTACTTTTTTTTTACAAAAAAAAGTAAAATTTTATAAAAATTTCAAAAATAATAAAAACAATTTATAAAAAAGTTATTTTAAAAAAAATTTTGAAAATATGTATTTTTTATTTTTAAGCCATAAAATTTGTCATTAAAACGATTAGAAAAATAATAATCATTTTATATAAAGATTACTAATTTAAATTTTATTAAATGTAGCATTAATTTATTACATAAAACACATCTAGGGGGTGCCATCAGACATTTTCAAAAAATATTGTTTTTAGGACCACCTTAACACACACACACACACATATATATATATTTATAAGATATAATTATAATTTTTATATAATTATATATATATATATATATATATATATATATATATATATATATATATATATATATATATACATATATATATATATACATATATATATATATATACATATATATATATATATATATATATATATATATATATATATATATATATATATATATATATTCACATCAAAACTGTCTTACCAGCAGCAACAGCAGCAGCAGGACCGCTAGAGCTTCCACTAGCAGAGTGATTAACATTGTATGGATTACGACAAGTTCCATGGTATCTAAAAAAAAAACTTGTTTTTAAACAAGTAAAATAGTTTGGAGCTAGTAGTAAATAAAAAATGATCAAATACAAGAAATATATTTTTTTGACTATATATAAATTAAATTAACCAACTTAAACTCCCAAACCAACTTGAATCATTTACCCAACTTAAAATACTAATATGAATCACTTGAAAGCAAATATTTTAAAGTCAGTTACTAAATATTATAAACACATTTAGTCACACATTGTCAGAAAAAAAAGTCAAACTTAGTTTATTTTGAAAACTTTAAAGACAAAAATTAGCCCCCTCCATTGTAATGACCTGAACCATTGCTGGTAAGCTGAATTTAAAATAAAGATGAACGTTTTTCTATATTGATTTAAAAAAGCATATTTAAAAATAAATATTAATGTAACTCATTTGCTTCTTTATTTTTTGCTCATTTATTATAACTAAATAAGTCATTAAAAAATTTGTTTATAATTCATTATTTTCAACCATTCATTATCATTATTATCAATACTTTAGTAGAACAAACTTGAGGGTAACAATTAATTTTTTTTTTTAAATACCAGACTTTAGTTAATAAAACATCTAGTAGTAGTTGTCATATCTTCTTAGAAATCTTTTTTAAAATTTCTATCATTATCATTATCTTTTTTAAAAAGTTTTTTGAAACATTTAAAAACCACAAATAATTGTATAGAGCTATGATAAACTTGGTTTCTATGAAAGGTAATGAACAACCAGTTTAGAATCCAATAATAAGTGTTTAGGTTTCCTTTTTTTTTTTTCTTATAATCCCCTATAATTTTAGTAATACCTCTAGTTTTTAATAAAAATAGTAAAAATAAAATAAATTGGACTAACAAGTAAAATAAATCATTTGTATGAAAATAAAAAAAGAATATTTTAAGGAATAGTAAAAGTCAGCAGTAGTAAAGTGGAACAAAAAAGTTTTCATTTGGTTGCTTTATTATACTAAAGGACAAAAATTTTGAATTAAAATAATATATACCACATTTTGTAAAAATTTCAGCTTATTTGAGAAAGTTTGTGAAAAAATGAAAAAAAGTTGGCACTTCTAAACTTTTATATATAGGCAATTTCACGGCAGAAAATGAAAAAATAGTCAGTTTTTTATTCTCTTTTTTGTCAACTTTTACCAAATGAATATTGATGTAGGCATATGAAAGTTTATTTAAAATATACCTTTAGTACTAAAATTAATTTATATAAGTCATTTTTATGGTTCCGAAAGTTATGGTTTTTCTAATTGTTGCATGATAAAAAAAGTATCATTGTAAAATGTTATTTTAACCATGAATTTATTTGCATAATCCAAATTAATTTAACGTTAAAATGGAACTAACATATTCAAATTGTTGTTGGTCAGATTTTATTCTTCATAAAATATATATATTTCAAGAAATTAACGAAAGAACTTTTGCAATTTTTATGTAATGTAAGTTAACAAAAAAGAATAAAGTTTTGTTTGTTCTAAAATTTAGTTTAAAAAAGTTTTTTAATAATATATGCGAAAGAATATTAAATGATAAGTTTTTACAAATGTTTAAGTTTTGAATAATGATGCTTAGTTAAAACAAATTTTTGTTTTCAATTAGTATAACATAAGTTAAAATTATACACATTTACTAAAGTTCTGGCGCTTTTTTTGTTAACAAAATAAATTACGTTATTAAGTAATTCTTATTTTCGTCGCATTACATAGTGGTCTGAAAAACTTGATTTTCCAAAATTAAAATTTTGATGTCTTTATACTAAATTGATAATGCTGAATCTAAATCTAAACACAGTTTTTGATTTCAAGGTTTAGTTGTTCAGATATCGCATAAGTGGCCCAGTCAAGAATTTCAGAAAAAGTTTTCATTTTTTTGCTTGTGGTTTCATAATATATTGGATTTATATATATATATATATATATATATATATATATATATATATATATATATATATATATATATATATATATTATATATACATACATACACATGTTTAAATAGGTTGCAGCGAGGGAGGGGGGGTCAAAAATTTATATCAAGCCAAAATTAATATTTTAGTTAAAAATTGTAGGTGATGATTTACGTTTATTTTTCACAAGTTTTTCATCAATATTTTTGAATAACAAATAATAAAAATCACAAGCGAAACTTTGTCATAAATTGGGTATTTATTTTTTCATGAAAAGCTACTATTCTAATTTTTAATTTAATAATCAATCTAAAGATATATTAGTCAATAAATTAAATTAAAAACCATAATATAAAAAGTATACGTATAATACGAAATAACAAATATATGATTAAAAATGTGGTATAAAAACAGCAAAAATATTGTGTCAATACGGTATGGTTCGATAATAGATGTTCAAAATATACTATAAATTTAATGTTTTAATAGTAGACTTTGTATTTTACATATTTTTAAAATTAACCAAAATATGCATTTTTTAAAGTATTTTCATCAGTTAAATATATGGAATATTTTATAAAAATAAAATAAATATGAGTATTTGAACTATTTTTAACAGTTTAAGTAGCAAGTATGATTGTATATAAAAAAAATGTTTTTGAACATGTATTTATAGAAATAAAACAAAAATAGAGACACCAGTATTTTTGATAACATAAAAAAGGTATATTTTGGGAGCTTTAAAGTTGGTGTAAATAATTTTATCTGCAGCTGATTTTTTTTTTTTTTGAATAGTATATGCATATTAGGATTTAATGAAATCATATCGATCAAGTCCATGCATGCTGACTTTAGTTTTAGGAAGTCCATGCATGCTGACTTTAGTTTTAGGAAGTCCATGCATGCTGACTTTAGTTTTAGGAAGTCCATACATGCTGACTTTAGTTTAAGGAAGTCCATGCATACAGACTTTAGTTTTAGAATGTCCATGCATGCTGACTTTAGTTTTAGGAAGAAGTTAAAATTGAAAAACTTATATTTTATGTTAGTTTCAAACATAAATAACTTGTGCAAATATACAATAATAAAAAATTATTATTATTTCAAATTAAACTATACTATAAAATTTGTTTAAAAAAGAAATCTTTACATATTTGCATATAGTTTTAAATTCATACACAAATGAAAAAATGTTGTATTTTTGCAAGAAATTATTAATCGGTTTTTAATCGCTCTTGGATACGGTTACTGACTTTTCTTTCAAGAAAAAATATGAAACCTATATATTTTTGAATTGCCTGGAAAATGTTATGTTTAAAAATTATTAAACTTTTTTTTTTTTTTTGGGGCCAAAAATCAAGTTTTTCAGACCACTATGCATTGGTTTGACAAGGTTCTAAATGAAACTTTTTATGTTAGGAGAACTTAGAAAAAAAATCATGTTTTTTAATAAAAATTTAATTTAATAAAATTTTTTATATTATTATTTTTTATTTGTTTATGTATTCTTATTTTGGTTGACATATAAATATACATAAATAAACAAAAATAAGAATTATATAAATATTTTTATATAGAAATTAAAAAAAAAAAAGATTTATTTACTATTCTCCTAATATAGCAAAAATCAGTAAGAACCTTTTTTAGTAAAACAAATTGTTTGTAAATGCAATCAAGGGGGTCATCCATAAAGCATGTCACCCTATATTTATCAATTCTTAACCCCATCCCTCCTGTCACAAACGATTACATATACCCTCTTCCTCTGAAAAGCCAAATGTGCCAATTCAAATGCATATACAACAGCTTTGGGGGGTTATGGGTGGAACACCCCCTACACCCCCCAAAAGAAATGTTACTGCAGCAAAAAATACAATGATGGGAGGAGTTAGGCACATGTTGTTTATACGATCATGCATTATGCAACAATTTGCATAATGTATGGTCGTATGTTGTAATGGCATTTTTCTAGTTACTGCCACATTTTAAAATATTTTTTCATGAGTTTTTTATTTTACTGATAATATTTTATTATTTATTGAAACCATTGAAATTGACCAGCTTAGCCAGAGGGAGGTCTAGAGGCAGCTTAGCTACAGGCTAAAATTACAACTAAAATACAAAGGAAATTAAGATTAAAACTATAAATTAAGGTAAAGTAAATTAAGGCTACAAAATCAGAAATACAAATAACTTTGTTCTGAGTTTTATAAGTATTATAAACTTTTCTTAATTGCAACTATAATCTTATCAATTACATCTTATGCTTTCTTATTTACAACATTTGTGTTCTCAATTACTTCTTATATTTCTATATTACAAATTTTGTGTTCTCAATCTTTTTTTTAATTTTCATTCACTACCAACAAGGCTGCAAGCAACCACTATTAAGTTGGGAAAACAAAGAACAGAGTTAAAGAGCAAGAAAACAGTTGACAGAAGACTTTAAAAGTTGTATGAGTCAGGAAAACACAAAGATGCGAAAGAGTTCCAAAGGGTTGAAGTTGGGGAAAAAAAACTAGACGGATAAAAAGTTTTTAGAGCATGTAGGGACAGATACAGTAAAAGGATGAAACTTGGCAAAATGAGGAGTCAAGCAAGAATGAATGTTTGTTAATGGAACTGGAGACAAATACTCCTTTGAGCAGCAACCATGTAAAAAAGAGAAAGTGATGCAACTTTACAACTAAAGGAGAGAAGCTCAAGCTTGGCAGATTAACCAGGTTACTATGGTTACAATGCATTTTTTAAACTTGCCTAAAAGAGAAAGAGTATTGTTTGAAGAACCAGCCCAAATATGACAATAGTATTCCATACAGGGATAAATAAGAGGTTAATAGAGGAAGATAATGGAATCAGGAGTAAGATAATGACGAGCATAATAAAAAGAATCAACCTTAGCAGGTGCTAACTTTGCAAATTGATATATGGTTTCTATGAGAGATCAGTAGTGAACAATAAACAAAGTGGATTTAAAGAAGAGGATTCAGTGTGAGGGTTGCCAGTAATAAAGGAATGCTGATAGTATTGCGATAGTTGTTTGAAGTAAACAACTTTTATTATTTAAGAGTTGTTTTGAGAGTTTTGTTGGAGTTAAAATTTACAAGCCACTGCTTGTAAATTTTAACTCTAAATTAAATAAATTAAATAAAGTAAATTCAAACAAAAGACTTACAGAAGTCTTCTGTTACAGAAGTGAGATCAGATTTTAGATCATGTTCTAAGCAATTGAAAACTTTTTTTCAAGACATATATTAATATATGTCTTGACAAAAGTATAAAGGTGAGTCATAAGTATATAGAACCATTTTAGATGTAAAGTTTTCAGGAAGATCATTAATGTAGATAAGAAATAAAACAGGACCAAGGATATTACGTTGAGATGAAGAAGAGTGTTGGCCTTTAAGGATGATTTTAATAAAGCAGTTAGAAAGAAATGATTTGATAGTCTTGAAAATAATTACATCTTGAAAAGGTGATACAAAAACAAAAGGTATTATGAAAACAAAATTAAACTCAATTAAGTTAAACCCAACACAGAGGTTTAATTTTACTATTTTATACTTTTTTTTCAATATTATCTGAATTTGTTCTACTTGTAAATAATGAATATAATTTACATAGTTATCATTTGAACTTTTGCAATAGTTTGTGGGCTTTTTTGTGTGCTATATAGCATATTAAAATATTAACTATTTCAATTTTTAAACAGTTAAATACTTACACGCTTGGATTGATTCCAGTAGTCCCAATCCCTAGTTGATGCATATTAGCCATTCCTATGAAGATAGCACCACCTTCTCTAAGCTTACTCACCATCCATCCTTCATCTTGCAAAGACTTTACAACACTAAATTCTTGAAGAGGCATACCACTACGACATGGGTAACCAGCCTAATATTTAAATTAAATATTTTATTAGTAAAATAATTAAAGGACTACTTAACCAGTAAAATCATTTTTTTTTTTTCATTGCCTTAACAGTATCACATTTACAAAACAATTCGTATTTACAAGAAGTATCACATTTACTAAAAACAATTAATCTTTAATATACAAGAAGTATCATACTTACTAAATACATTTCATCTTTAACTGCCACAGGAATTCCATCAAATACAGATAAAGGTGTATTATTTTTCCAACGTTTGGTTGAGTCTTCAGCTTGCTAAAAAAAATTATTGATGTAATCAAAATTTTTTTTAGTATCTTGTAATCATCTCACATGGAGCAAGGGGGGATAAAAAAATACTATACAAAGATAAAGGTAATTTACTTTAAAAATAACTTTATAGAAATAACAATAAATTGAATTAAACAAGAATGGATCAGCTTATATTTACTTTTTATTATTACTAGTTTATCATAGAGTAAAATTAAGACAAACTTTGCACTTTTATATGGTTGACTCCTTTTTGCATTACTGTATTTTTTGCAGCTATTTATTTCACTATTTTCAAACATAATCATTATTTTTCTACTTCTTTATTAAGTTTATTTATAAATATCTTTGTCATAATTTATTTTTTATTATTTACTTTATTAAAATCTTACTTTAAATAAATTTATAAATCTTTATAAATTTAATAACTAATAATTTAATAGCTTTATAAATCAAAATCTCTTTTTACTGAATTAAAAAAACTGAATACCATTAGCATATACACATATTGCATACTATTTCCTTAAACGGCACATGTTTTCACAACTTCTTTACCAACCTTAAATTTCTATAACTTGATACTTTTATTTTTTTTAAATCTTTAACTTGTCTACTTCTTTAAAAAAGTGCATTTAAAAATTTAGAATTTCAGTATTCAGTAGTAAAAAGGCCAAAAATGTCACACAACTTTTAAAAAAATTAACTAAGTATGCTATTCTTTAAGCATCTTTACTTCAAACAAGGCTGCAAACAGCCACTATTAGAGTTGGAAGCTACTGAAAGAGAAAAAATGATATTTTGGAGTGAGATAACGATTAGCAGACAATTTAAAATATTGCAAATTATATGAATCAGGAAAAAAAGATATAGGAAGCAAATTTCAAAGAACTGATGTTTGAGGAAAAAAACTAGACAAATAAGGATTTTGGAGCACTTAGGAACAGCACAGTAAAGACGAGACGTAACGACAAGTATAATAAGAATGAACTTTAGTAGGAGGCACAAAAGCTGTTAGCTCTTTAGAGCAGCGCCTGTTATGCAGGTCCAACTATGTTTACAATGTGTTTTTGTACCTTATCTAAAAGAGAAACAGCATCATTTGAAGATCCGCTCTAGATATGATAACAGCATTCCATACAAGACGGAGATTTAGAGATTCCATACAAGGATGGTTTAGAGATTTAGTAGAGATGACGGAGATTTAGTAGAGATGAAGAATAGAATCTGGAGTAAAAAACATGATAAAGAGATGCAACCTTAGCAGATGCTAATTTTGTAATGGATTTGATATATGGTTTCCAAGAAAGATGGGAAGTAAAAGTTAATTCTAGAAGATGAAGGGTAGATAACTCATCAAGTACATTACCGTTCATAAATATAGGTCCATGTATGTATCATAGATTAACAGTAAGCAACAGCAATGCACTGTTCATAAATGAAGATTCAGACCGTTGCGACAATGATTATCTGAGTTTTATCTGAATTAAAGTTCACTAGCCACTGAGAGCCCCATGTTCTAGCAGAAGTGAGGTTCTTTTCAAGTTCAATCAGAGAGTGTTGGCTTTTTTACAAAGAAAAGAATAAATGGTAATATTATCAGCGAACAATGCCATCTTTGATGTGAAAATTTCTGGGAGATCATTACTGTAAATTAAAAAAAGTATAGGGCAAAGGATAAAACCTTGAGAAACCCCTGAAGTTGCAGAAAATGAAGAAGTGTACTGTCCATTGAGAACAACTTTTATACTACAATTAGTAAGGAAGAATTCAATAATCTTGAAATAAAGATGTTACTTGATACACCATATGAAGAGAGCTTATGGAAAAGAACAGCATGCCAAACTATATCAAAGGCTTTAGAAATGCAAAGAGCAATAATATTGAAGAAAGTATTGAATGTATGACATACATACATACATACATACATACATACATACATACATACATACATAGTGGGGTGCAAAAAAAAAAAACTACTTGTTTTTTTTTCCACACTCAATCTTTTTATAAAAAAAGCAATAAAAAATATTTTAACTTAACAAGCAATTTTGATAGAAATGTGTATGATATTATTGTTTATTACATATAATAAAGAAGAAGGATTTTTAAAGTATTTTTTAATCTCTAACTGTATTGACCTAATTGACCATCTTTTGTTTTTAATGACATTTGGGCATTTCAAAAGCTTAACTGATATCAATTTAAACTATAGATATTTTTTATTCAACTATGTTGTCTGTTTGGAATTGCTAACATGCCT